AGCCACAGAGACTGTTTTGACACTGGAGTCTCATGAAAGTGACACTCCTAGGCAGCTGGGGCTGAGAGTGACACCAACATGTGAACCTATTTCAGGACTGATATGTGTTCAGTGTTTTCCATCCAGCCACATGACCTCTGGTGACTTCAATGGACAGTCTATTCGTGAACTGATTTTAGGAACTTCTGCTCTTTTACTCCCCATTAAAGGTAGTTTCAGTGTTCTGAGGCCTAATAGCATCTATGAACTTTGGGACCTGATATTTTTCAGTGGGTTTAAATCCCAAAGCCCTCAGGTTCTTAAAAGGTTCATATGGGAGATTCTTTTATCTGTATCTTGAAAGCTCTAATAAAGGGAACTGAATACAACAATATGAGCTGTGGACTGAGGAGAACAGAAGACCTTTTTCCAAGTTTCTTGCACATTCCCTTAAAAGCAACCTGAGAAGAAAGTAAGGGAAAAAATAAAAAATGTTAAAAAAAAAAAATCCAGGTCTAATGAAGACCTAATGGTTAGCAGCTCCACAGATTTATTTTGTGAATGCCTCAAAAAAGCGCTGAGATCTTTAACCATTAAGCTGCCAGAAAAAGTATGGGCTTCCTAGGTATTAGCAGAATAAGTGAGCAGTGTTTGAGAACCATGAATGTGGCCTTTTGACTTCCCAAATTATATCAGGATTTTTTTTCTTTGACCTTCCCTTACTGCAGATCAGTAACAATGACACTACTTTGTTCAGGTGAATCGGGACACATGGCACTATACACTTTTGCAGAAACACATCCCACATTAAATTAAGTTAGAGGCGGTATTTGAAAAATAAATAAATAATGGAGTTCCAATTCACTGCAAATGGTACGGGAGGCCAGTAAGTGGGAAGCCTGCAAGAGAAGGACTTCTTTTAGAAAGATGTTTTACAGGACTTTTTCTGCATCATTAACTCCTCTGGAATCCTGAACATAGCATGATGAATTTCCCTAAAAAGTAGCTACTGTTTAATTTTCAATCACTTCAAAGAGCCACAGTAGAAGGAATCAAAGAAAACCAAAAAGACCAGTGGATGAGAAATTCACCAAGGGAGGAGGGGGAAAATAAAGTTTCTAACAGATTTTGACCATGTACTCAAAATACCACTGATTATTTTGCTAATACAGTGTTTTACTGTTTCACCCGACTGAAATAAGTCTCTGTATTCATCAGAACACAGGATATTTTTATTACAATATTTGTGTCATAGCCCTTAAAAAAGGAACATACTTAAAAATTTGAAGAGAATTTTTGTCTGATAATGGCTTTTGGTGTGTGTGTGTGTGTGTATGTGTGTGTGAACGTGCGCACGCATGCATGTGTGTGTGAGTGCATGCATGTGTGTGTGTGAGTGTGCGATGTGCGCACGCATGTGTGTAAGTGTGCGATGTACGTGCGCACGTTACTATAAACAGATACTTAATTAGAGGTAGCTTATTACTGAAAGGAGTGACACTCCTGCTCCTCTCTCCAACAATATAGTCTTGGAAGAAAAATATAATTTCACAAAAGCAAAGAACTGTGGCAGGCAGGAAAGGCAAGAAAGTTGGCGGAGGTACTAGAAGGGTTGCTTAACTTCAATAATAACAATAATTGGTCTTTAAAAATGTCTTTTGCGTAAAAACCTGCCCAAGGGAAAAGAAAGAAAACCTCCTAAAAATTCCATATCCCCAAATACCACTACATCAAAAACCATCTGGAAAATGTCAGATAATGGTATCCGCCCACCCTAGAAATTCAGTAAACTTTGTCTTCAGCTAGCATTTAGAATAATCAACTAGAATTGAAAATTCGATCGGAAAACCCTCCAAAGACAAAGCAGGATTTGGAATCCGATTTTTAAAAGTCTCCTTAAAAGGACCATCTGTTTATAAATACTCTTCTCACACTCTACTTTGTCCTTGATCTGTACCACAAGTTCACAGCAGAAGCAGACTGAATTTAAAGACATACATACGGCTACTATGAAGTCTAGTTACCACATATATGTTCTGGGCTGGTCTCAAGTTTCCCTTGTTATGTAAGCACTTAGGGACAATAAAATTTCACTTATATGCAGCAGCACTGTGAGTCCCAAAACAACAGTCTACCCGGCCGTACAATCCTCTTACTGGCAATGGACAGCACTGGGGTTTTATTTATGTTGATCATATTGTCAGTGCTCTATGGAATAACCATTTAGTGGACTCTGTATTAGTCCATCATATTTGTATTGCTGCTACTCAATATCGTAGCCATACTGAACTCCGTATTAGAAAAATCACATTAGAAAAACTGAAACATTCAGAAAGAACTAGGAAACGGGTGGGTTCCCCCCCACATCTGCAGACTGATGAGAAGAAGAAAAACAATGAGTATTCACTTCTCGCAGATAGAGGTCACTAATGGACTGGATTTGAATCACTGTGGCAGAAACCACATAGTTATTAAAGCAATCTAGTGAAAAATGAACTTGAATTAAAAATAAAGAAAAGATACCAAAAGACGATTATCCAGAAAGGTGTGACCTGAATTCAAATAATATTTCATCACCTTGACCTTTCTTGAATCTTCTAAACAGAGAGCAAAACCTAAAGCCGCTTGGCACCCTGGCAGTTTTTTAACTTCAGAAGCTGCTGATCGCAGAAGCAGCAATTCTTCCTGATAAAGTAAGGAGCTGAAGAGTCAAACTAGATTAGATGCTCACACTGAGTCTCTACAGAATAAGGCTTCAAGAATCAGACATACTTGAGCCTTTCCTGAAACCCCAGGTTCAAACTGGGAAAATATAAAGTTGATTTAGGGAGACACGTATAAATCCTAAATCAAACTCTCCAGCAAGCCAGAATATAAATGTAATAGGGAATTAGAGAGGGTTCAAATTAGATCCAGCCGGTTGAAGTCACACTAGGATAAGATCACATCAAGAAGCCTGGTATACAGGAAAAACCTGGGGACCCCAGGGTATATATCCCAGCATGTTGTAATTTGGGAATCTACTTTCTTTTGTTAAAAGCATCACCTGGAATTTCTAAAAATGCAATGAAACTATCAAAGTGTTAGGACACAGCCATTTTTTTTTTAAACTAGCATTCTTTCCATGCTAGGTTTGTAATGGGTTCTGTTTCAGTATACCTAGTCCAATTCTTTTTACAATTTCATATACCTACTGGCAGAGACATGGAATCATGTTTAAAATCCCATCTTCCAACCTCTTCCAGTCACAGATATTTGCAACTCAATGTGATAGTATGGTGCTGCAACTGTCATCAGTGATTATTAAAAAATTAGATAGTTTAACCCTATCTTGTTACAGGTTTTCCAGGAGAGCTGGAAGAGAAGTTGTGTTTTTCGGAGTAATAATATTTTGTGGGAAAAAGCAACTTTTCTTGGCATGTATATTTATCATCCAAACATTGATTCTCTTGCAATATGGTAACCTGCCGATCATCCCTATCTGGCACATGTTGCTTAGAGATTGAAATAATAATAATAATCCAGTTCTAACATTTCAGACACTGACCTAAATTTTTACATTCATACAACAACTAAATATATCCCTGGACAGATGCCAACCTGCATTCTATTTACCTCAAATGTTTGGGGGATCCTTTCACTAGAGATTTAATAAGGTCATACCAGTTAAGTCTATAGACAATCTAAGTCACGATATGGGAGCTAGCCTTCATATTAGCTTTTGGCTGGGGGAAGTTAGACATAATAAATTTAGCAATAAGCCTGTAAGCAGTGGACATGCTCCAAAGCTCCCTGAAACCCTGTGTGATTAAAGAGCCTCCCAGCTGAATGGGGAGCAATAGCTCCCATTTAGAAGAGGCTTTGCATAGCAAATGCAGCATGTAAAGAAATCTAATCAGCACCTTGCACTCCTGCATTTACACGGATTTGTGCCTTGCACTTACTTGATTAGCTTACAGTAAGCTTTACATGAGATTCCCTCCATTAAAATTAATCAAAAGCTCTTAGAGACTGTTTTCCATTCAAAGGAGAAAGCATGATGAGTTTCCAGGTGAATTAATAATGATCATAATAATAAAGACGATAGCAGCAGCAAACCTTGAGGTGCTTTCCAACTCAAAACTCTATGGGGGGGTTTGAAGTAGGCATTGAGAAGTTGGAGCTGGAATCTTTTGGCTCTGAGAATGAATGGCAGCTATTTTCTCAGCTTAAGTAAGGCCAGCCACTGTTCCAGAGACAGGACTACCTTCTCTTGGGCCCACAGCCTCAGTGCACCCACGCGGCCACTCAATTCCGTGGCACCATCGGGCGTCAGGCCATTAAGAGGGGGGGAGGGACTGCCGCTCTGCAACAAGGAACCCTCTCCCTCTAAGACAGACAGACACACACACACACACACACACACACACACACACACACTTACTGAAAATTCACATTTCCAAAAGCTAACCCGTTTCATCTTAGCCCCCTCAATGAAAATGTGAGTTCTAAAGTTCCTATTATATGACGCCAGAAGGTGAATGGAAGAGGGGAGGACTCCAGGGATGTCAAAAGGGAAAGATTTTTTGCCTCTTTGCAGTCAATTTGCACACACCTCCCCATATTGGTTGTTCTGAGCAAGCAAAACCAAGCAGGCAAATTAGAGTGGGCTTGAATTTCTTTCTTTTTTAAAGATGCTAAATAGGGGTGAGAGGGTGAGCTGGCGGGGGTTAAGTGAAATCCATCAATCATTTCCCTGGATTGAGGAATACTAAAAGCCCCTGGATTCACTTTCCAGATTTCCAAAGAGCCATACAAGATGAGGCACCATCTGGGGCTGAGGGTTATCATTCACTCCCAGGGGCATTTGCGCCTGGCACAGCTGCCCATCGGGCACATGTAAGATCCTAGCGCTAGGTACCCATCCCCGGCATCTTGAACTTCATCTCCCTCTCACTTTGACCCATACCTGACGAGCGCTAGGAAAGGGTCTGAGGGAAAGCAGAGGGGTACAGAAAGAGAAGGCTGGGGAAGTGCTTTACCTGCGAAGGTTCTCGAGGTCTCCTTCCAACCCTGGTGGTAATCCCGCTCAGAGCAGCGCCCTCCCCAAGATCCAAACTTTTGCTTAGTCCTCCGGGTGGCGGCGGCGGCGACGGCGGAGGCTGCTGGAGCCGAGCCCTGTCGCCTGCAGCGTCGGGGCACGGGGGAGCGGAGGCCGGAGCCTCAGAGCGATGCGCGCCTCCCCGCAGCCTGTAGGCGCCCGGGCGCCCCACTCGCCTCGCTCGCTCTCGCCTACTTCCCCTACGGATGCGCGGCATCGTCTTCCCCCGTCCTCCGCCACCTCCGCCTCCAGGGCTCGGGCATGCCACTTTCTCTCGGCTCGGGCCGCCCTGGCTCCCGCCTCCTCTCCTCCTCTGCCTTCCTTCTCACTGCCTCGGCTAAGCCAAGGAACCCCGAAAAAAGTAGGGCGGGCGGTGAAAGCGGTGGAAAACGGCCAGGAGGCACCCGGACTCCTGGGAGACAGAGAACCCCGGGGGTCGGCGGAAGAGCCAGGCGGGCGCTCCTCCGACGCGTGTGTGCGGACTCCGCGGAACTGCGTGCGGATCTGCGCGGGGGCGGGCGCGGGGCTCGCTCCAAGTGCTGCGCCCGCCCAGCGCGGATGTGGAGGCTGCTCTGACCAAACTGCTGCCTCAATCTGAGGCGGTCTGGCTAATGTAGGCGCTGAGGCCTCCACCCCCACCCCTGCTGACACCCCCGGGAGATGTTTACAGTAATGAATTCGCGGGATCGCCTCCGCGGCTCCCGCGCTCCTCCTCTCCCTCCGTCCCTCGCGCTCTGGCGCGCTCTCCCCTCCTAGAGCCCTCTTTCTCTCCCTCCCTTTCTCTTCCTCCCTCGCGGAGTCCCTCCCACTTTTCTGGTTTAAAGAATGCTGGGGAGGAGCGGCTGCTACCCAAAGCTTTCCAAGAGGCAAAGTCTGACTCGAATTTTAACCCTCTCCTTCCTGGAGAGAGTTCCAGAGCATTGGGGCTAACCCCGCGGATACCACCTAGACCATGCACGCTGCCTCTGGGTTTTCTACGATGCACATGCCCTCCCTACCCACAGTTTTTAGAAATACTTCCAGCGTCCGAACCCTGAAAGGCGATTTCCCCCAAGTCGCCTAATGCTGTACTTCCAGGAGAGAGGATCTATTACTTTGATTCCGAGAAAGGATCGAAACCTGAGATTTGAGGGTAAAAATATAGCAAGCCTCTGAACCAAAATGGCGTTATTTCAAATGCAGGCAACCTTGATGATTTGCCCCACCCCCATCTCCACCCCATTACAGGTTCCTTCATTCCGGACCTTTTTAAACTTTAATTGGGGAATGAACTAGAGTTTGATATGACCATTTTAAACACTTCTACTTTCTCGTATTACCCTGGCTGCAGCTGGTGGGGTGGGGGTGGGTCAATTTCCCCACAGATTTCAGTGGACAGCCAAAATTCAGCCTCAAAGACTTTGGAGACAGACTGGACAGCAAAAGAAACCTAATTTGTATATAAATAGCATTTCCAATTCTCAATCTCTTTGCAAAGAGTAAGTAAAGAATAATCTGAGAAAACCGAGGGCTATGTTTTTTTCTTTGCGAGGTACGGAACGGGGGACTGGATCTGGTTTGCTCTTCGTTTCATTGCTGCTCTTCCTGCCTCCAGTAAGTTGCTGTCATGTTTTAACAAGTCCGGAGAGAGGCTGAATCTGAACAGAAGAGGGAGAACGAGCCCGCGCCAAACGCTGGGCTGCGCCTAGACGCGCTGCCAGTGAGGCCAAGGGAGATGCAATCCGCAAGTTTAACCCCGGACCAACACTCTAGGGATCCTCTTAGCTCCGTGGGCTACGGAGTAGGACGGGGGCGGTGCCTGTAACCGGCTGGAGATGATTTCCGGACGCGCCCAGGCGAGACCGCACTCCCTGTCTTCAGTTCAAAGTCTGAGTCACTTGGCACCCCTTCACCGATTGTTTTTATTTCCTTCGCATCCCTGTTGTGTCTACTGCCTTTATGTGTTTGAAAGCCTAAGTAAGGTTAAGACGACTTGGAGAAACGCCAGATTTGTCTCCTAAGCCACGCATGGACCCACCCAGGCACACGTTGACACACACGCGCTCACACGTGCACACACACTCATACACACTACTCGAATGCTTGAGCGCCTGTCGCTGTTCTGTTGTATCATGCAAAGGTGACTAGAAAACGCTTGAACTTAGGTATGCATAGCCTGTCCTCTACCCAAACTCCCAGAGTGTAACTAATAATTATCCAGGGGAGGAGGGGAGAGGATGGTGGAGCTAATCACAGAGAAACAGTAAGTGCCATCTTGCTGGGAGGTTCCTGGAGCAAAGCGCCAGAGACCACAGCAGAGGTGGCTTCAGTCTCCACCGGCAACTGTTTCACCTGCTCCAGGAGTTTTCCAGGAGTCAAGTGTGGATTCAACCCGCTCCAGTCACCCTGTTCCCCAGAGGGCTCCCTTATCCTCTTTAGTGCCTGGGTCTCAACTCGGCACCTTGATTTTGGGCCTAATTATCAAAGAAAGAGAAGTGACCATGCCGACTCTGAAAGAGCAGGGGAGAGCACTGGACTGGACAGCGCGGCGGAAGGATCTTTCTAGGAGGTTGGGGCTCTAGCAGCGACCCGGTGGCAGCTTGCTAGGCCTTGCTTCAGCCACTCTATCGGTCTTCTGGTCCCTGCATTCAGCGCCTGGGGGCGTTACCCGCCCCATCTCTGCGTCCAACGCCAGCGGCGCCAGAACGCGATCACAGTTCAGCTATTCTTGTGCCTCGAGTCTTCGCCACCCTTTCCTTCGCTTCAGGAAGGCGCAGTGGCCCCAGCTGAGTGACCGCCAGCCCCAGAGAACCAAAAGGCCTCAGGATAGACTCGGTTTGGGGAAAAGCAGCCCCTCTCCCCAAATGAAAAGAAAACGAATTAGTATCCGCTGCGTCTTAGCGGCTAAAGGATCTTGGATTGAGGGAATGGAGCGGGCTGGTGGCTTTAGATATAACCACTTGATAATAACGCTGGTAGCATTAAAAGTAGATGGAAAAGGAGGTTGTTAATCGTGGAAGTTAAGAGATTCTTTCTGACGAAATGGGAGGCTGTACTCCAGCAGGCTTAAGGGTCTGGAAATCCTCATTTAAGACCTATACATCCAGCAGGCAATCATGTTTGCTTTTTGACCCTGAGCCATTACAAAACTCCTTAAAGAAGGTGGATTGGACCTGCAGATAGACATCCCTAAAGTCTGGAGCCTAATTTCTCTCCAGGTAAAGGAAAAAGTCTAGAATATCCCATCAGGGTGACTCCCTCCCCAGTTAAAAAATAAATATATCTTCCCCCCAAAGAGCGTGATGCCCGCTTCGCGGCTGCTAGGGCGGCTATTAGAAACTTCACCTGGCACCGCAGTCTCTTTACCTGGCGGCCGAGTCTCCTCCCAGTGGGCTCATCCGAATCCGACAGGGTCAGGGAGGTGGAAAGGGAAGAAGCTGGCGCGGCAGCAGCGGGGCTCCCGGGGCATGGTATTGTTTTAGGGGTCGCCGCCGAGGTCCCTTCTGCCCATTGTTGAGAACTGCCACCCTGGTCCTGGGGCTCGGTGGACACTGTCGCGGGCGAGGAGGTGCGCCGCTAAACTCCCGGGTGGAAGGACCAGAAGCGCACCCCCAGCGGGGGAAGCTCAGAGCCTCGGCGCGAAGGTTGCGAGCACGGTTGTTACCTCCGAGCGCTAGTTCCTCCGAGATGACAATGGATGATGCCAAACTCACAAGTGAAGGCGACAGGTTTTGAACGTACAACTAACTACAAGATACCCAGCCTGAGACTGTATGCTTCTTTTCCCCTCCCCCAGCTCTGCCTCCTACCAGGGAGGGGACTAACTTAACCCTGTGTGCGCCCTGCACTCCCGGGAGAAGCTGGAATGGACTAGGAAACCGCAGGCGGCGGCTCCCAGGGCGAGAGCTTTGTTCACGTGCGTTTCCAGTGGGTGTGTTGCTGTCTAAGGGCACTCGCGTGGCAAGACGCCAGTGACGGGCTTCCAGCGCCAGACTCAGGGATGGGAAGGAGCCCTAGCATTTCATCCGGACCAGACCCAGCCCTCGGAATCTATTTTTTGCCTCCAGTTACCGGATTTATGGAAGTTGCCAGCAAAGTTGGGTTTTATTCCTCTACTTCTGTTCCCCGCCCCTCGTATTATTTCCTTCACTAGCTGAGCTTTGAAGATTTGGAACTCGTCGCTGATTCTAACTCTAGCTCCTAATGTATTGAGTGTGCGAGACACCCAGGCCAAATTTAAATGAACCCTCAAGGAATGCTGCCTCCCACCCATCTAGAGCCGGAGTAAGACAAATGACAAATACTCAATAATGAAGACATACTCAAATAACGAGGATTAAGACACCAGAAGATTGTGAGGACGAGATGAAGGAGTTTGATTTGTTCATGGGGAAATGGGAATGAAGGGAGGAAGGAGATTAGAGAGAAAGAGAAAGGGGGAGAAGGGAAGGAATAGACACAGAGACAGAAGTTAGCCTTAGAAAGAAACAAATAGGGGAAGTAAAAACAAGAATGACGATGCAAAAAAAAATTATCAAGGTCCCAGCACTGAAAGAGCAGGTCAGTGTTAAGCGCCAAGATTTTGAGCGCAATATTTTCCCAGCTGCTTTGGAAGAGGTGAAACAGAGAATATACCTCTGCCTTGCATTCAATAAACAGCTTTGACTAAGTGTTCTCAGCTCAAGAAATTCAGCGGAGTTGGAGGCCAGTCTTCTCTTGAAGACAGAATGCGGACAAGAAAAAAATGTTGGCACAACGCTGCTCCGGTCACCGTCACACCCAAATGAGCCAGGACCTCAGGGAGCGCAACCTCAGATCCGCATTTGGACATCACCTCCTTCTGAGCTTCCGATCTGGACTAACGAAGATGCCTTTTAAAAAGTCTTCAGAGAGTAATAGTGGATCGTGCTGAAACTGAGTTATTTCAAAAGTGACAGAGTGCTTTTCCACTGGATAGATGTTCTAATTTCTCTCTGCAACATACCCAAGCCAGGGGAAATAGTAATAACCACTTCAAATGCCTCTCTGAGCTCTGCCAGCCTGGTGAGGCAGTGCGAGCCGCTTCCAGCCCTTACAGTGGAGAATTCCGTTGTAAATCCTTCTAGTTAGCCAAGGTGGCAGCAAAGCCTAGGGATAGCTCCTTGGGCTCCAGAATCAACTAGAAAGTCCGCGTTTTAGGACATATACACATCTGCCTGCTTTTAAACATCCATTTTCCTATGTAAGTGTATATAAGAGCCTGCATGATGTCCTTCCTTTGAAATGTTGATCTATGAGGGCCTTATGATGATTTCCCCTTTAAAAACACATTCTTGTTTGAAAGCAAGATGGAACTCTTTACAGCTTTTACTTTCTCACTTTTGCTGCTGAAAAATGAATGAGCTGGAGAAGGGGGGGAGGGGATGGTTTTAGAAGTACAGATATTGTATTTGCAATTACTGCTGTTTCTAAATCATAAGCAAACAATGTTATGACTGTGTTCTCCCTACAAGAGGCTATTGGTGCAGATATGGTAATCAGGACAAAGAAAAATAAGTAGTGAAAAAGATCACAT